TTAATTAATAGTTATTAAGTAATATATATATATATATATATATATATACTATATTCTTATTACCTTAAAATGTGAATTTTATTCGACCATTCTCTTTCTTCTCTCTTTACATTGTTATTTCATTAGAATTAATTATTTTTCGAAATGATATCGACATTGGATATATCGCAGGCAAATATAACATAAAAATTCAACCTGCCCGGCAGAGGAGACTCCATATGCGGTTTTAATTTTACCGTGGAAATATTAGCTCTCTCGAAAGAATTTTAAATTTAATAAAAAAACTTCCCTTTTTTTTTATTAGATATTTGTACTCCTCAGTTCTTCACGTGACGTGACCTTTGGAATTTTCATTGGTATGTAATATCGCGTACATCATAGTCCACGCTGGCATACGATGCACGTTATACTCTATCTATAATCCCCATAATAATGCACCCACATAGCACTGATCCCGATGAAAGTGGAGTGCGAGATAGCGTATAGTGATGGCAGCGGGGCGGGGACGGCCGAGCTCGATTGATATAAAATCTATCGTCCCGAAGCTGGCAAAGCATGCAGTCGTTTATCGAGATACCAGCAGCGGTGATCATCATCATGTCTTACAAAGTAATACTCTACGTCCTGCTACTTATCGTCGCTTCGCTTATCACTCGCTTGAGGCACTCGCCTGTGTTTCCCGCAATAGCACAACGGGCTCTGACTTTTCCCACAAGTTTTAATATTAATGTAAAATCTTGACAAGTTAGTAAACAAGTATGAAAAATTATTAACTTTTGCAATTTCTATTTTTTTGGCAAACTTTTAACGCGCCGCAGACATTCTATGATTCAACATGATTGATGAAAATATGAAATCTTGTATGGTTCTCCTTCGTCCTACTGTCCTTAAATTAAAATATTAATTGCATATTTCAGATAGAGTAGCTTTAGGAAGATTTCTATTAAGTTGTTAACTAATATAATTTTGTCATTATGAATTCATTAATTTTGAATTTATTAATTGTTTGTTCTTTTTTGACACATAGGAAGAAGAAACGTCAGAGATGACAAATTATATGGCTAGAAATTTTGCTACAAGCAATTTTGCCATTTAGATTTAATCAGAATTTAGTCAAAGCCGTATTTAATTAGTCAAGTCAATTTGACATTTGACATTTTCTTCTCAATGCACAGATTATCGTCCATTTTATCGCCTTATTGGCTGTCGTTCGTGCCGGGATCGTTGGGTCGGATGCAACTGCAATAGCCGTCGCGCAACAACCAACCTGCAATGATTATCAGAGCTGAAAACTATGATCCTCCTCGGTATAGCTTCGGATATAGCGTGGCAGATGGTCTCACTGGTGCGTCTTTGCAATGTAATTCCCGCAGGAATGACTGATCCGCACAATCATTTGGGTTTAGCGAACCCACAAACCTCAACTCAATACACTGCGGGCATTTACACGTTACGTACATTCGCATACATTTACACGTTACGTTCATATACATAATTGAGGGAACAATGATTGCCATAAATACTTGAGGAAAAGTAAAAATAAAGTACAACTTGATTTGAAAATAATGACAGAAATAAGACATGTTTAACATTTGATGGAAAAAGGCTGAAGTTCATATTTTATTTAAATTTGTA